GATGACATAAAGAAATGGAAAGATATTCCATGCACATGGATTAGAAGAATAAACGTAGTTAAATGTCCATATTACCTAAAGAAATCTATAGATTCAATGCAATTCCAATCAGAATCCCAATGACATTCTTAACAGCAATAGAACAAAGAATCCTAAAATTTATAGGGAACAACAAAAGACCTCGAGTAGCTAATGAAATCTTGAGAAAAAGAACAAAACTGGAGGCATCACAATCCCTGACTTCAAAATATACTACAAAGCTATAGTAATCAAAACAGCATGGAACTGGCATGAAAACAGACACACAGATCAATGGAATAGAATCGAAAACCCAGAAATAAAACCACACTTCTATGGACAGTTGATCTTCAACAAAGGAGCTAAGAACATATGATGGAGAATGGAAAGTCTCTTCAATAAATGGTATTGGGAAAACTGGACAGCCACAGGCAAAAGAGTGAAAATAGAACATTTTCTTGCACCATACACAAAAGTAACTCAAGATGGATTAAAGACTTACATGGAAGACCTGAAACCATAAAACTTCTAAAAGAAAATATAGGCAATACACTCTTTGACATCGGTTTCAGCATCTTTTTGAATACCATGTCTACTCAGGCAAGGGACACAAAAGAAAAAAATTAACAAATGGGACTACATCAGAGTAAAAACCTTCTGCAAGGCAAAGGAAACCATGAACAAAATGAAAATACAACCCACCAACTGGGAGAAAATATTTGCAAATCATATGTGCAACAAAGTGTTAATTTCCAAAATATATAAAGAGATCATACAGCTCAACAACAAGAAAACAATGCAATCAAAAAATGGGCACAGGATATGTACAGATGTTTTTCCGAAGAAGATATACAGATGACCGACAGACACATGAAAAGATGTTCAACATCACTAATTGTTAGGGAAATGCAAATCAAAACTACATTGCATATCACCTTACACCTGTCATAGTGGCTAAAATTACCAAGACAAAAAGTAAATGTTGGAGAGGATGTGGCGAAAGGGATGCACTGCTGGTGGGAATGCAAACTGGTTCAGCTGTTATGGAAAACAGTATGGAGATTCCTCAAACAATTAAAAATAGAAATACCACACAACCCAGCTGTCTCACTACTAGGTATTTATCCAAAGAACTTGAAATCAACAATTCAAAGAGACTTATGCACCCTTGTGTTCATTGCAGCATTATTCATAATAGCCAAGACCTGGAAACAACCCAAGTGCCCATCCACTGATGAATGGATAAAGAAGATGTGGTATATATATACAATGGAATACTACTCAGCCAGAAAAACATAAAATCATCCCATTTGCAACAACATACACAGAACCTGAGGGTGTTATGTTAAGCAAAATAAGCCAGACAGAGAAAGACAAACAGTATATGATTTCACTCATATGTGGAAGATAAACAAACACAATGACAAAGAGAACAGATTAGTGGTTACCAGAGGAGAAGGGGGTTGGGTGGTGGGTGAAAGTGGTAAAGGGGTGCATATGTATGGTGACGGATAAAAATTGGACAATTGGTGGTTAGCATGATGCAGTCTATACAGAAAATGGTAAATAATATACACCTGAAATCACACAATGTTTATGTTTAATGGTTTATAACCATTATAACCTCAATAAAATAATTTTTTAAAAAAGAATAGGGTGGAATATTCTTATTTCATCTTGTCTGAACTACAAACAATTCAATAAATTTTATATTGATTCCATATTCCAATTTTATCAGTTTATAACATTATTTTGTTTCTGGTACAGGATCCGGTCCAGGATCATGAATTGCATTTAGTTTCCATGTCTCTGTAGTCTTCTTCCATTTGTAATAATTTCTCTGCTTTTCCTTTGTCTTTAAAGATATTGAAACTTTTGAAAAGTAAAGGCTAATTGATTTTTAGAGTGTCCTTTGAGTTTATCTGATATTGTTTCCTCATGATTAGATTCAGGTTATGCATTTTTGACTAGAATACTACATGACCAATAGTTTGTCTTTCTCAGGCTATCATATCTAGAGGCACATAATATCTGTTTGCCCTTTATTGCTCATGCTAACTTTGATGACTTGCTTAGGGTGTTGTTACTTTTCTCCAGTGTATAGTTATTGTTTTTCCTTTTGTGATTAATGAGTAAATTGTGGAGAGAAACTAATATTGAGTAAAATTCTGTCTCTCATCAAACTTTCCCCCTATGTATTTAGCATCCATTGATGATTCTTGCCTGAATCAAATTTTATTATGATGGGTGAAAAATGGGGATTTCCTAACTCCATCGTTACTTCTATATTATTGGCATTCTGTCACAAGGAAGAGCTTTCCCCTTTCTGAATTCAGCTTGAGAAATTAACTCCTGACTTCCAGCTATGGCAGAAGATGTAGATAACTCATACTAGTTCTTCATCTCTTTTCCCCCACCTTCCTAGTACAATTATATGATTTTTAGTGCCTCCAATGGTTATCTTTGTGACTTAATATCTGACATTTTTTTCTTATTCTCTCAACTATGACATCTCTTGATCTTTTGTTTAGTAAAATGATGATTTTGTTGTCCTTGCCCTTTCCTTTAGTTCTCTACTGTATTCTACTTACAGACTTCTGTCATTTAAACTTCTACTTTTACATTATTGAGGTTGTTATTTACGCAATCTTTTATAGCCATTATTAAGTCACTATGAGATTATCCAGTTTGCCATCAATTTTCCACTTAATGGCTTTAGCATTCATTGATGATCCTTGCCTGAATTAACTATTTCATTAGGAGTGGCAAAATGCTGGTATTTGAAATTGTAGTATTTGTTCTGCATTTATTAGCTGCCGGGCTCTATTATTCCAATTATCCTAATTGTTGTGAAGTACAGCTTCCATGTTTTCACTCACACTTTTTATGGCTTCCCACTGCCCCACAAATTAAGTTTCAATGCTTCAGTGTTATATCTAGGCCTTTCTTGTTATGTTTCCCACCCTATTCATCTCCCTCACTCCTCTAGATCCTCTGTGATCCTGGAAAGTGTTCTTGTGCTCCTCATAATTTCCCCACTCACCCCTGCTTCTCCATCAGAAGTTCCCCACCCACCTTTGCTTTTCCATCGGTGTTCTTCCTTTTGCCTCTATGTAGACTTCTACCACTCCTGTGGAAATTTTAATCCAAAGGACTCCAATTTCCTTACAATGGCCTTGGAGTGGCCTACACGGTTTCACACGTTAAGGTTCCTGTCTCCTCGGACCTCGTCTACTGTCCTTTCTCTCTCATTCTCATCATACCCTTCTTCAGAGACACCTTTCACACCTCCGTGTCATGCCTTGCATTTGCTATTCCTCTTCCTACAGCTCTCCCTCCAGACATCTGCACGATGCAGTCCTCACCAGCTCCTTCCAGTGTTTGCTCAAATGTCACTTTCTTGCTGAGGCCTTCTCTTACCACTCTCTTTGAAATTACACTTCCCTCACCCTCCCTACACTCACTGTCCCCCTTTCCTATTTTATTTTTCTCCAAAGTTCTTATCTCTGTTGAATATATACTATATGACATCAATTTAATTTATTTTCTCTCCCAACCTAACCCCTGCTAGATATAAGTTCCATGAGGACAGAGATTTCTATCTATTTTGTTCACTGCTGAATACTTACAGCTAGAACAATGTTTGAAATTTAGCAGACATTGAATAAATATGTCTAAAATATTTAAATAAATTTGTGGAATGAATGACCAAACCGACATTGAGGTAAATTTGTTGATTGTTGAATGAATGAATCCATTTTTCAAGAACCATTTCAAATACATCTCTTTTTGGAAACTTTTTTCTGGTCCCTTAGGTCATCTCTATCCCAGATGACCTCTTTATTCTCCAATTCTCATGGAAAATGTTTATATTTGTTGTGGCACATATTTTATCTTATGATTATACTTATTAATGTTGTGAGTAGACAATATCTAATTTGTATTCTCAGGAATATTAGCACTACATTATATATACAGAGTGTACGAAATAAATACATATTGAATTGAAATAAAATGATAAACTCATTTCTTTGTTTTGTTAATTCTTATTCTTTGGACTTTTCCTCTCCTTTTTTTTTTTTGTTAGGTAGTGTTTTTTTAATGAGAAGAAAATATGTCTCCATTCCTTAGCAAATGACAAACCTGAATCTGGTTAATATGGTCTACTCAATCGTTACCTTTTTTTTTTATTGCAGTAACACTGGATTATAACATTATATAGCTTTCAGATGTACATCATAATATATTTCAAATTCTGTGTAGATTACATCATGTTCACCACCCAAAAGCTAAGTATAGTCCATCACCACAACTGTGAGCCTAATCATCCCTTTTGCTCTCCCCCCTCTCCCGTTCCCCTCTGGTAACCACCAGTCCAGTCTCTGTTGCTATGTGTTTGTTTGTTGTTGTTGTTATCTTCTACTTATGAGTAAGATCATATGGTATCTGACTTTCTCCCTCTGACTTACTTCATTTAGCATGGACTTTTCCTTTTCTACCCTGTTCTTGCCTTTGAAAATGTTTATTCTCCTCTCACTTATTCACTTAACATAGGACTCAAAGACTCTTTTGCTTCTTTGGCATACTTTTTCTAAACTACACGACGTTCATCTAACTCTGATTCAGAGCATTATGTTGGGATTTAGAAGTCTCGTATTCTAATTCTCAACTCTATCATGAACTCTGATTGTGACCCTGAACTTGTATTTTTTTCATCTGTAACATAGAAATATAAAATCTTAGGAGTGGGTGCAGTATTAAAGTTCATATACCAATTTCTCAGTCAACATTCTTTACAGGTATTTATCTACTTCTATTGAAATGTTTCCAATGACAAGGAACTTACTACCCTCCCTCCTAAAAAAAGCCATTATATTTTCAAACAGCTCTAATTATAAAAAAGTTCTTATTTTTATTGAGCTAAAACCTACTGTTTTCTAACTTTTATCTTATTAACCTCCTTTAAAATTTTCCTTCTCCAGGCTCAGTTACTGAATTCTGGAAAAGACTTCCAAGTACCATCATTTCAACACCTGCTACCAATACAGTTTGCTCTTTTGGAGTATGCCCTGGTGCCAGTTGTATGACTCAATAACTCTTTCTTTTCACATGGGGTTTTCTGTCCTGAGGCTTCATGCTATGACTATATTTATATTTCAAAAGAAGGGAAATAGATGTTTCATATTAAATTCCAAATGGGAAGTTTAATGTGTGCGTTGGCATATTTAGGATAAGGATGAAGCTATCCTGGCCAAAAAATTTGAGAAAGACAACACTTTTCACTCTGAAGGACCAAAAGATGGGTAGAAAATTTGGGATAAATGTGAACAAGATTTGATCCATAAGGAAAAACAAATAGTTAGACCTCCATATTCATTCAGCTGGGAAACTAAAACTGTGCAATCCCACTATCAGAAATTCCTCAGTCAGCTCGCTACTCTTCTGAGCAACAGTGTCATCCCCATACCAACCGCAGAGAAAGCTGTGAAAGAGAGAATTCAGGAAACCGGTGCAAATGAGCAATCTTGGAAGTCTGTAAGTGTACTGACAGAAAAGTTATTCTTGCAAATTTGTTTCTTTTTTAAGATGTAGATTTTAATATTAGCCAATTGGGTAAACTCAGTGGCTTTGAATTTTAATTTTGATTTTGTCACCATAAACATAACTGATAACTATCAAGAAGTTTTTTTTCTGTTACTATAGAGAATGGAAAGTCTTCAGTGGGAAATTCAGATGCTCACTCAGCAAATGGAGCAGCTGTACCATCCTTATGAAGAAAATGTTTGTGAATCATCCCAAGATGAAGAAACTATAGGGAACAAAGAAGACTCTTGAAATATCCGGAAGGAAAAATTGCTTTCAGTGAGTTTTTTCAAGAAATATTTGACTTAGATAGAAAAAAAGACTTTCCTGAATTATGGATGTTAATTTGGGCAATGAAAATGATCATATATTATTGTAATATTAGTAAATTTAATTTTACATATTGTAGAAAGCTGATTAAACTATTTCTATTTCACTTAAGATTGGAAAAGTGAGGGAAAACAGTTGTAAATATTTAAAGTAATGCTTCTACTTTTAGCAAAAAGCCTTTCCTTTTTTATATCTCTCACTTTTTCATTGTACACATATTTGGTATTTTTTGTGAGAGCATTTTTATGAAATTTTTAACATATTTATAAAGAGGATTATAGGAAAAGGGACTCAAAGGAATGGCCCTCTAATAGTGGAATTTCAAGCATTGTGGGACCTAGGTATGATGGGTCTTGGGAGGGGCCATTAATAATGACTATGTAGATCGTTGTCTTTCTATTTTTTCTTTCCTTGCATTTGTCAGGACAAAGTCATTGCTAAAACAGGATGCAAAGTAAGATATGGTATTATTTATTTTCAGGAGATCCTGATACTCTTTCACTACCTCCTTAGAAAACTGCATGTCTTACCCTGATCTATGTTCTATTGTTTTGATGATTGCTGTGCTGTCTTATTTCACATTCACTCACTCATTTGCTCTCTATATTATCTATTGCTGCATAACAAATTATCCCCAAACCTAGTAGTGTAAAACAACAAACATTTATTATCTCATACAATTTCTAGGGTCAGGAATTCAGGAGCAGCTTAGTTGAGCTGGATGCTTCTGTCTGAGATTTTCTTGTGAGGTTGCAGTCAAGATGTTGGCTGGGGCTGTAGTCATCTGAAGCCTTGACTGGCTGGAGAACCTACCTTTAAGCTCACTCACCCGGCTGTTGTGAGGAGGCCTCAGTTCCTCATCACATAGGCCTCTCCATAGGGCTGCTCCCACCATGACAGATCAAGCAATCAGCAAAAGATAGCTAAATAGTAGGTAGATAGCACCATCAACATAATATGGAAACTCTATTGTCTTTTAGATCTAATCTTTAATTTATATGCTATCACTTCTGCCACATTCTATTAGTCACACCAACCAACTTGGTATAATGTAGGAGGAAACTACATAAAGGTACCAGGAGGTGCAGATCATTGGTGGCCATCTTGAAGGCTGTTTACCACACCCATTTGTTTTACTCACTCACTGACTGATCTAGCCATTCATTCACTCATTCATATTTATTGAGCAACCACAATTTTAAAAAATTTATGGCACTTTCCTTGTGAAAGACAAGGATGTCCACTTTCGCCACTTCTATTCAACATAATACCAGAAGTTCTTCTAGCCAGACCAATTAGGCAAGAGAAAGATATTTTAAAAATAAATAAAAGGCATCCAAATTTTAAAGAAGTAAAATTATCTATGTTCACAGATGATATGATTGTATATGTAGAAAACCCTAAAGATTCTCCCCAAAAACCTATTAGAACTAATGAATTCAGCAAAGTAGCAGAATATAAAGTCAGCTTCCAAAAATCAGTTGCATTTCTATACACTAACAACAAACAATCTGAAAAGGAAATTATGAAAACAATTCCATTTACAAAGCATCAAAAAAGAATAATATACTTGGGAATTAACCAAAGAAACAAAAGACTTGTACAATTAACACTACAAAATGTTGCTGAAAGAAATTAGAGAAGACATAACAAATGGAAACACATACCAAGCTCATGGATTGGAAGACAATATTGTTAAGATATCAGTACTACCCAAAGTGATCTCTAGATTCAATGCAATTCCTATCAAAATGCCAGTGATATTTTTTTTGCAGAAATAGAAAAATAAATCCTAAAATTCATATGGAATCTCAAGAATCCCTGAATAGCTAAAACCATCTTGAAAAAGAACAAAACTGAAGGACTCACACTTGCTGATTTCAAAACTTACTACAAAGCTACAGTAATCAAAACAGTGTGGTACTGACATACAGACAGACATATAGACCAATTGAAGAGAATAGAGAGCCCAGAAATAAACTCTCAAATATATGGTCAAATTATTTTTGACAAGGATAACAAGACCTTTCAATGGGGTCTTTTTGTTTGTTTGTTTGCTGAGGAAGATTTGCACTGAGCTAACATCTGTGCCAGTCTTCCTCTATTTTATACGTGGGTCACTGCCACACCATGGCTGCTGAGAAGCGGTATAGGTCCACACCTGGGCCACTGAAGTGGGGCATACTGAACTTAACCACTAGGCCATGGGGCCAGCCCCTAAAAGGACAGTCTTTTTAACAAATGATGTTGGCAAAACTGGATATCCACATGCAAGAAAATAAAGTTGGACTCTTACCTAACACCACATATAAACATTAACTCAACATAGATCAAAGACCTAAATGTAAGACCTAAAACTATAAAACTCTTGGAAGAAAACGTAGGGCATGACAATGATTTCTTGGATATAACACCAAAGGCACAGGAAACAAAAGAATAATAGACAAATTGGACATCATGAAAATTGTTAAATTTTGTGTATCAGGCATTATGCTAAGTGAAATAGGTCAGATGGGGAAAGCCAAATACTGTACGATTTCATTCATCTGTGGAAGATAAACAACAACAAGCACAGATATAGAGAATAGATTAGTGGTTATCAGGGGAAGGAGGGAGTGGGGAGAGTGAAGGGCACATGTGTATGGTGATAGGTGATGAGTAGACTTTAGATGGTGAGCACGATATAGTCTACACAGAAATATAAACAATGATGTACACCTGAAATTTACATAATGCTCTGTAAACCAATGTTACCTCAATTAAAAAAGTTGTGTTTTGAAGAGTATCCACAGAGTAAGGAGGCAACCCACAGAAAGGGAGAAAATATTTACAAATCTTCTATCTGACAAGGGATTAATATCCAGAACATATATAGAACTCTTAAAACTCAACAACAAAAAACAAACAGCCTGATTCAAAACTTGGCAAAAGACTTGAATAGACATTCCTCCCAAGAAGATATACAAATGGCCAGCAGGCACAAGAAAATATGCTCCACATCACTAATCCTTAGGGAAATGCAAATCAAAACTACAATGAGATATCCATTAAGCTGGCTATTATCAAGAAAACAGAAATAACAAGTGGTGGTGAGGATGTGGAGAAATTGGAATCCTTGTGCATGACTGGTGGTAATGTAAAATGGTACAGCTCCTGTGGGAAACAGCATATACCCAAAAGATGAAGGCAGGGTCTCAAAGAGATATTTGTACACCCGTATTCGTAGCAGCACTATTCACAATAGCTAAAACTGGGAAGCAGCCCAAGTGTCCATCAACAGATGAGTGGATAAGCAAGGTGTGGTATATACATACCGTGGAATATTATTCAGTCTTAAAAGACAAGGAAATTCTGACATGTGCTACAACATGGATGAGCCTTGAGGACATTGTGCCAAGTGAAATAAGCCAGTCACAAAAACACAAATACTGTATGATTCCACTTATATGAGGTACGTAAAGTAGTCAAAATCACAGAGACAGAAAGTAGTCAAAATCACAGAGACAGTTGTGGTTGCCAGGGAGGGGGAAATGAGTATAGAGTTTCAGTTTCACAAGATGAAAAGAGTTATGGAGATGGATAGTGGTAATCATTGTACAACATTGTGAATGTATTTAATACCACTGACCTGTTTATTTTTAAATGGTTGAGATGGTAAATTTTATGTTATGTGTATTTTACCACAATAAAGAAATGAGAAAAAAATTAACAGCAGTTAATTGAGGTCAACAATATATCCTGTGGAGTTGAAAGATTTATGCAGTCTCATCCAGTCTCTACCTCTGCGCTAGTATATGTGTATGGAAATGATGCACTGAATGGTTTGTCCGTGCAAATAAAAAACATCCTTTATTAAGCTTTCTTAAGAATGTGCAAAAGTAACAGATTACCACCATCCTTAAAATTATGCTAAAGGGGTGAAGAAAACAGTAATAATCTTCCCCAACACTCTCTCTGCCTATCTCAACTCAGTAACCAATGTTACCATCGCCATGGTTATGGGAATGTTCAAGCACAGATATACAGGTAGAGTTTTTAAAAATTTTTTTAGAATGGCGCCTGAGCTAATATAACTGTTATATTGTTAATATAACTGTTAATATAACAATAACTGTTGCCAATCTTCTTCTTCTTCTTTTTTTTTTTGCCTTCTTCTTCTCCTCCCCACAGTCCCCCAGGTCATAGTTCTATATTCTAGTTATGAGTGCCTCTGGCTGTGTCATGTGGGATGCCACCTCAGCATGGCCTGATGAGCGGTGCCATGTCCACACCCAGGATCCTAACTGGGGAAACCCCAGGCTGCTGAAGCAGAGCACTCAAACTTAACCACTCAGCCATGGAGCCGGCCCCAGTAGTAGTGTTTTTACAAAACTAGGATCATTCTAGTAAAAATACTCCACAACTTCCTCTTTTTACTTAATAATGTCTCATGGTTATACCTATGTAAAGGATATAGATATAATATTCTTTTAATAACTACGTAACTGTTCTATGGTATGTATGTATCTTAACTTGTTCAATCATTCCCCTACTGATGTACAATAGAACTCTTTCTTTTATTTTTGTCACTACAAATAATGTCAAAATAAATATCATTCTACATATATCCTACCACAGTGGTGCTTTTGTTTCTGCAGGATTAAAAATGTGAGATGATAGGGTCACAGTGTATGAGTATTTAAAATTTTAGTAGCCATTGCCAGGTTACTACCTTCAAGAAGGTGGAAGCTGATCATTTGAGAGTGACTCACTCCCTTTCTCATCCTAGCCAGAACTGAATCCTGTCACTCTTTTGGTTTTTGTTAATTGCATTAAAAGTTGTTACTTTCAGGGCCGGCTCCGTGGCCGAGTGGTTAAGTTGGTGCTCCGCTGCGGTGGCCCAGGGTTCAGATCCTGGGCGCGGACATGGCACCGCTCGTCAGGCCACTTTGAGGCGGCGTCCCACATCC